GCGGGTTCCGCGAGGAGCCCAGGGTGGGTGGGGGTCCGCGGGGGTGCCCCCGATCGGGGGAGTTCTCCGGGCAGCGCGGGTTGGGTGGGCGTCCGCGGGGTGCCCGGAGCGGGTGAGCGATCCACGGGGAGCCCTGACGGGCTGGGGGTACGCGGGGAGCCCGCAGTGGACCGGCGGTTGCGCGAAGCCCCGACGCGGGTGTGGGGAGGGCGGCGGGGAATTCCGGGCAGTCCCTCCCGGCGTCCTGGCCCCGGGTCATCCCTTCCGGGCAGGAGACACCCGGTTCCTGCGGGAGACTGGATACCCTGCCGCTCCTCTTCCCCCGCCTCCGCTCCGCGGCTCGGTGCAACCCGGTGCAGCCGGCGTCTCCGAATTTCTCAGCGCGAACAAAGGACAACGGGATCCAGGGCTTGGGACAGGGCTGCGTCTGCCGGCCCCACAGAGCCTTCACCCTGGCCTTGGCCGGCGTGCCCTCCCCAGGGGCCCGAGTTAGAAGCGGGGCCCGGGCAGGCCTTCCTTCCTTGCAGCTGCGTGCGGCGGCGGCCGGCCCCAGGCCGGGACCTCCGTGTTGGAGATGTGACTCAGTCTGACCGTGGCTGGGGTGTGTTTGACTGTGGGTGTGAGATCCAGATGGTCATTTCCCCAGGGTCGGATAGATGGGGGAGCGGCGCTCAGGGCAGGACCCAGAAATGGCCGGACCCCCAGTTGTGTTGGCGGCAGGGAGTCCACGGAACCAGATTTTTAATCCCAGCTCAGCTCCCATCCGGATAGCCCCGTCCCTGGGCCAACCTCCTTCCTACCTCTGACGCTAACTGGTCATACTTGTGAGCCAAATATAAATGCTAAAAGACAAGAAGACCTCGGGGAGGAAGAAGTAGGCAGGAGATTTATTCTGTGTGGATGCGTATGTGTTTGTGTTTCGCTGGGTTCTTTCCCAGGGAGAGACTGTCATGGGCTGGGGGTCTAGAATTTAGAAATGTCCTCCCTTGTGACGCTCGGGGTGTGGGTTCGGGTTGTTGCTGTTGTTTTCTGCCCGCATCACTTAGGCCCTGAAATTCCAGAACTCCTTGATGAGAGAAGCCTCCCACGGGAGGGGGTGAGCTCCGGCTACGAGGCCAGGCCGTTTTCCTAGGAGAGTCAGACTCCTGACTCCGCCCCTCCTCAGCTTCAAGTGTTGAGCGATCTGCGTGCAGCTCTCCCTGGGCTTCCTTCAGACAGGACGTGGGCTTCGGCGAAATGTTGGTGATTGCCTGAGCTGGGTAATGGGCAAGCGGTAGCTGGGGTTACTTAATACCGGTGCCACAGCTCAGGAGTGGTGGTCGGTGTGGCATTTGTGACTTGTCTGCCACGAGTCCAGGGGTGGAGGGGTGGAGAGAAGTACATAGGAACTTTGCAGTTGGATGTTGCCCCGACGCCCAAGGCCATGCCCATCTTTCTAGTAATGGTCTCTCGTTTGTATTCTACCAGAGTTTGGGTCCGTGCGATGCGTCAGAAAAACGTCATCGTAGATCCTTTGAAAAATAGTGCCGTGCGATACTCATCTGTTCTGTGACTACCTGAAAGGTTTTCATAGCAAACTATGAAAAAACTAGGATATTTTTAGAGAAACTCTGTGTTAGTCAAAGCACAAAGTGACACTGTTAACAGTGGTTATACAGTAAATGGGTAATAGAAACATTTCCATACTTTTCCATAAGTCACAAGTGTCTTTCAGTAATCATGGAATTGTTTTTATGGTCAGAGAAAAAAAAATATATGAAGGTATTGGAAACAAATTTTTTATTTATTTTTTATTTTTTTTAATTAAAAAAAAATTTTTTTAACGTTTATTCATTTTTGAGAAACAGAGCATGAGCAGGGGAGGAACAGAGAGAGAGGGAGACACAGAATCCACAGCAGGCTCCAGGCTCTGAGCCGTCAGCACAGAGCCGGACGCAGGGCTCGAACTCCCGAACCGTGAGATCATGACCTGAGCCAAAGTCGGACGCTCAACTGACTGAGCCACCCAGGCGCCCCAGGAAACAAATTTTTTAAAAGGGGAAGACTTATAAATATATCTGTCTCTTAGAGTTGTTATAAAGATAACATGTGAAATATTGGACCTGACCTACATTGTAGTGTAAGGGAAGGAAACATTTCCTTTCTTGCCTTCTGGGTTTTTCAACCGGTCTAATAATTAAGTTGACATGAGACACAGTAACAGGGGAAAAACAGATTTAATTTGTACCTACAGGAGCTTATAAAAATACGAGACTCAAAGAAGTGACCAAAGCAGGCAGCTTTCATACCTCTTAGCTCGGGAAACAATTATTTGTGGAGATTTGACAAAACGAGGGGGTTTGAACTGGGGGTAATAAATTAACAAAGTTAACAAAGTTCATTTATACAGCCTTCTCAGCCTGGAATTCCCCAGCAATAAAGATGCCCTTCCCTCCTGGTATGGGAAGATAGGAAGGATACGGGAGAGATATATTTCTTGCTTGTAAGGGAATAAAAGAAAGTCAGAATGTCCTAAAATTACACCAACTGTTTCTTACGTGACTTTAGTTCAAAATAATCAACATGCCAAAGTGGCAAGTTTGGGGGTGGCGTCTTTTGTTCCCCTCAGTAGTAATGCATTAAGTGGTGGCCCTTTGCTTTAGCTAAAAAATTAGTCGAGTGCACCAAAGTGCCGTAAGTCAACTGACTACCTAGTCATTTACCTAAATGTTGAGGAGTTGAGGCTTCTCTTTGTATTGTACCCGCTGCTTAGTTTTCCAGTAGATTGGAAATGGACTTGTGCCACAGAATTTCATTGCCACGATTTGCTGATTTGACCAAAGCTTCTAATGCGCTTAGAGACCGCTGAGAAAGACCGTAAACGCCCAACAACGTGAAAAGCATTGCAAATGAACGTCATTGAGTAACTCCTGTTTGCTTATAGTCTCAGCAGTTGAAAGTAAGTAGCTGGCAGGTTTGGGGGCAAACTATAAACGAATCGTAGTAGTCGCCATGTATTGGGCCAATCTTCTAGGTCAGACAAGGTTGTAAGTGTCGTACGTACATTATCTGACTTTATTCTCTCCGCCATTCTTTTCAAGAAGGTAGTAGCCCCATTTACTCTCAGGGAAACAAAACCATCCTTTATAGGAAGAGACAAATGGCTAGGTAAATTAGCTGATGTCCGGTATTTACTAACAAGAGCGACTTCTCAGTTATGGCTGAGGATTCAGGGGATTTTTTTTTTAATGTTTATTCATTAATTTTGAGAGATAGAAAGCATGAGTGGAGAATTCAGGGAGTTTTTAAAAAATGTTTATTTATTAATTTTGAGAGAGAGAGAGAGAGTATGAGTGGGCGAGGGGCCGAGAGAGAGAGAGACGCCCAAGCAGGCTCCGTGCTGTCAGCCCAGAGCCCGAGGTGGGGCTCCATCCGTCGAACCTTGAGATCATGACCTGAGCCGAAATCAGGAGTCAGATGCTCACCCGACTGAGCCACCCAGGTGCCCCAGGGAATGTTTTTTTTGACTTCTTCTCCCCTGCAAGGTGTCAGAGGTAGGATCGTTGATGTTCGTCATAATGCCGCATCCATGGAGAAAGATCCTGAAGGGTCTTTGGTTGTCAAGATTAAATGATTAATTTTAATGTTAATTATACTTTATTTTATTACCTGTGTGTGATGTGTGTTAATCAAACTGTGCTTTTGAGACCAGGAGCGCCTATTCTGAAATATGTATAAAGCCTCCTGGGTGGGTCTAGCTAGGGTGGACCAGAGGTGGTGGGTGAGGGCAGGAAGGTGGCATAGGAGGAGGCCGTGGTCGTGAGGCACAGAGGACACACTTCCCACAGGTGACACCTACGTTATGTCTTCTTCCCACTAGTCGTTTATGAGCGGTTGCCCCAGAGGTCACGGAGAGAAAAGGTAGAGTGGGGAGCACTGTGCCCCCTACTCTTACTGTGAACTTTTATCTCGTAGGAGCTGGGCTGTCATTAAAGCCCTGATGTCCACCTACAGTGACTGAATTAGTTCCTATCGTTGTCACAAATCGCCACCAACGCAGTGCCTTAAAACAACACCAGGGTGTTATCTGGAGGTCAGATGCAGGTTCTGACTGGGCTAAAATCAAGGTGTCAGCAGGGATGCGTTCCTTTCTGGAGGTTCTGGGGGAAGAATCACTTCCTTGCCCTCTCCAGCTTCTAGAGAAACACCGTTGTGGTCCACCCGCATCTCTCAGGAGAATCTCCCTCTTTGAGGGTCTTTTGTTTAGGGACCTGAATTCCATCTGTAGCCCCAGTTCCCCCTTGCCACGTAACCTCATATATTCGCAGGACACAGACATCTTTGGGGGCCGCTGTTCTGCCTCCATCAGGCTCAGACCATTGGATATGGTGCTCAGCCCGGGGCCTGAATCAGTCACGTCTTACAAATTATATACTTAGGGTCTGCTTTGCCTTTCACTTGTGGTCCTGCATTTGCCCCTCGCTACGAGTCTGGGAGAGACAGCACCATCTCACTCTTCACGAGGAAACCGAGGCTCAGGTGGGGCCTTGGCAGGATCTGTGGCTGTGGGGGATAGGATCAGAATTCCAGCCCAAGCCCTTTGTCCATAAATTCTGTTCTCTTCCCACCGAGCCTTCACCGACACCCTGGACAGCAGGTGCTATGACCCTAAATACACTGACCCCTTGGAGCCAAGCAGATAAGTCATGGCTCAGAGTTGGCCACCCACTCCCGGCCACAGCAGAGACCACAGAAAAGGGAAGACCGAGCATAAGGTGAGGAAGGAAGAAGGGAACCGAAGTTTTGCATGGTGTTCGGGTGGATGCGATGCTGAGGATGAGACATGGGTTATGTTGTCTCTGAAGGAGAGCACGCTGCTGGGCTGTAGGCTACTCAAGGCCCATGTCCTGAGTGCCTGCTCCTCCAGGAGGTGGGGATAAAACAGTCCCCGAGTCCGACAACACCCAGCCTTCCTGGAGCTCCCCACTCTCGCACCTTGGGGAGACTGTCGATAAACTGCTGGCGGTGAGGAGAGGCAGGGACCACGAGGCGCTCACTCTGTCCTCAGCCCTGTAAAACTAACCCGTCCGTTCCTCGTAACAACGCTGTGAAGTCTGTACTGTGCCCATTTAACGGATGAGACAGCTGAGGCACAAAGTGGCTAAACAACTACAGGAGCGTGTGGCTTTGAACTCGGGCAGTCCAGCTTTGGAATCCATGCTCCTCAGTGCCTGGTGGAAACAAAAGGACCCAGGTGGAATCCCCTGTCTCACCACATTCAGAGCCCCATGGGGACAGGTCAGGCAGGGGCAGGGAATCCCATGCCCTAGGCATTTTGTACAGGAAACCACTCTACCGAGACCTGAAGGGAGTGGGGGAGAGAGCCGTGGCATGCTGGGAAAGAAAGCCCCAGAGAAGGAGTGGCGAGGGCAGGCCCCGTGTTTCCCAGGAACAGGGAGGGCCCCATGTGGCCTGTGAGACAGGGGTGAGGCCGTTCAAGGGCAGGCCCTCTGAGAGGTTGCAGAGGCAGCTGTTAGTGAGTGGGCAGTCTGATGTACTTCCTTGTGACATCCTCAGTTCTAAGATTTGTTTTCTTCTCTGAATGTGGTGAGACAGGGCATTCCAAGAAGCCCAAATGTAAGAGCAAACCTGTGGGTTCTCCCCCCCACCGTGGTAAAATGAAAATCAAAGAAAGTCGAAGGCTCGTCTAGAGCCTCCACAACTACGGGGAAGCCTCTCTCCTGGCCCAGCCCTCAGTTAGGGTGGAAACTCTTCCTCCTTGCTCTGTCCCCCCAGTGCCTCCTTTCTTAGCGGAAAGCCTGGATTGTGGGGATGGTGGGAGAGGGTGCCCGGAGATGGCTCTTCCCTGGAGATGGGGGGAAGGTGACGAGGACTGTGGCGGGCGGAATAACGTTCCCCCGAGATGTCCACATCCTCAGCCCCAGATCCTGCGGCTGTGTTACCGTGTGTGGCGAAAGGGACTTTGCACCTGTGACGAGGGGTCCTGAGGTCACGAGATGACCCTGGATTGAAGGGCTTCGTGGGCCCGGTGTGCTCACAAGGGTCCCTGAAAGGTGGAAGAAGGAAGCAGAAGAGTGAGACCGCAGAGATGGCAGCAAGAGAAGGAACTGGCCCAGTGTTGCTGGGGGAAGGAGTCAGAGCCAAAGAATGTGGGCTGTTTCTAGAAGCTGGAGGAAGCAAGGAGCCATTTCTCCCCCAGAGCTTCCAGAAGGAACACGGAACACCCTGACTTTCACCCACCAGTTTCAAACTTCTGACCTCCAGAACTGTTTAAGAGAGACACCTGGGTTGTTTTAAGACACTAAATTTGAGGGATGCCTGGGTGTCTCAGTCAGCACAGAGCCTGCTTCGGATCCTGTCTCCCTCTCTCTCTCTGCCCCTCCCCCACACGCCCTCTCTTTCCCCAAAATAAATACACATTAAAAAAAAAAAAGACGCTAGGGGCACCTGGGTGTCTCAGACAGTTAAGCATCCGGCTTCAGCTGAGGTCATGATCTCACAGTTCATGAGTTCAAGCCCGGAGTTGGGCCTGAGCTCATCGCTGTGGAGACAACGAACATCCTGGAAGTAAACAAAACAGCCACAGACTCTTGGTATCGCATCTTTCAGAAGAAGAGCCGGCAGACGCGAGCTGGGCGCTGTTCGTCAAGATTGGATGCATTTACTGAAAGCATGTGGTTTGAATTTCCTGCTCTGAATTCTGGAACAGCATGTTTTTCACACTTTGCTTTCCACGTTCTGGGCGTTTCTCATTAATCTTTCCATCTCAGAGATGATCTCGTCATGATTGCGTGTTCTTGCAAGAGAAAAGGCTCCCCGCACTTGTAGTCCCCAGCCCCGCCCTGCGGAAGTATCTGCTTGGGGGGCGGGTTGCTGAGGTTGTGCCTTCCAGGTCACCCCGGGAGGGGGACCCTGGCATTGGTGGTCGTTCCCTGGGGTGGGTGTTATCATCCTGTTTGTAGTCCTTAGACTTCACGGTGCATAAGAATAGGCTGGGAAGCGTGTTGAGAATGTGGATTCCCTGGTCTGGGGAGTGGACTGGGGATCTGCGTTTGAAGCGATACGTCGGTGATCGTGATACTGGGGGTCCTTGAAAAACACCCCCCAAAAGACATGTCTCCCCCTCCGCGTGCCTTCGGGCTTTGCATGCCTGTTTTGGGGCGTGTGCGTGTGGATGTGTGTGAGTGCGTGCATGTGTTTGCGGAGGTTTACCAAACGCACCCTTGGTCCTGATGCACGTCTGCTGCTAATGCAAGTCTGGGGCTGATGCATGTCACGTGGCCCCCAATTCAGCCTTCACTTCTGGACTATACTGTTATTTATCCCTTATTCCAAAAAAAGAAACTGGGGCCCAGACTGTCAAGTTAACCTGCCCAGTCACACATACGTATTAAAGATAGAGTAAGCATTCTAGTTGAGCCAGACCCCGGCACCCAGGACCTGTTCGAGAGAACTGGAGTCTGCAGCGGGGAGGCCTGGGTGGCTCAGTCGGTCGAGCATCTGACTTTAGCTCAGGTCGTGATCTCACGGTTCGTGAGTTCGAGCCCTGTGTCAGGCTCTTGGCTGTCAGCACAGAGCCTGCTTTGGAGCCGCTGTCCCCCGTCCTTCTGTTCCTCCCCAGCTCACACATGCACGCAATCTGTCTCTCTCTCTCTCTCTCAAAAATAAATTGAAGAAAAGAAAAACATTTAAAAAAGAACTGGAGTCTGCAGGCAGAAAGGCAGCCCCAACCCCCTCTTTTTTTCCACAGACTGTGTTGATGATGCCAAATTTAGTCAAAGGCGGGGGTGAGGGGACGTACCTAGAGAGACACGTAATACCATTTCTGCACTTGGACAGAAACGGAGTTGCATACGAATGGCTTGATGACGTGCACTGAAATATTTTTGTAATCGATCTTTCTCCCTTTCTCTCTCCCCCTCTTCCCCCTTCTCTTATTCTCTGCCCCTTTCAAGACTCTCTTTCCCAGCTGCCTGCTCCTCGAGACCCCAAGGTTCGCCTGTACAATGCCGAGCAGGTTCTGAGTTGGGAGCCGGTGTCCCTGAGCAATGACACGAGGCCGGTGGTCTACCAGGTGCAGCATAAATAGTAAGCCGGATCTTTCTGTGGGTGTCCTTCCTGGGAGTTGTGGGGGGAGCCGTTACAGAACCCTTGTCCCTGCCTCGTGGAAACATTGCGAGCAAATCCGCTGGAAACAGATATTTCCCCTGCTCTTTTAAAGTCTCCAAGGACAGGGGCGCCTGGGTGGCGCAGTCGGTTAAGCGTCCGA